AGATCTAAATATAGCGCAACTTGGAGATTTAAGTTGAAGTGCTATCGCTTTGACCGATAAGCCGGATTTTGCGGCTTCCCGTTTCATCGCGAAGCGAGCGGACTCTCAAACGGCCGTTTTCCGTTTCCCGACGACAGTCGGAGGTGTTTCAGGCTGCGGTGGTAGCAGCGGCGGCTGCAGCCGCGGGTGGTGGTGGCCAGCAACCCGCGCCAACACCAGGCGGTGGCAGCGAGACCAACCCCGAAGGCGGAGTGGAGGCTGCGGCGTTGGCACCTGTCACCTCAGGCGCGACGACACCCGCGACAGCGACACAAGGCACCGACCTCAAAGGTCAACCAAAACGTTTGCACGTTAGCAACATACCTTTTCGCTTCCGAGACCCTGACCTCAGGGCAATGTTTGGGGTAAGTCTTACAATTTCTTTTATTACGCTCTTTTTCACTTTTATTATTTCGAATCCTCATATTTGGGGATTGTCCGCGTTTCTCTTCTTTGATTATGGGTCTAGAGAGCAAGATGAATGACGTATACGTATTATTTTTATTATCTGTGATTTTCTTGCTTTCTTTAATTTTAAAGATAATTTTAACGAATCATGAAATGAAAAATTTTTCAAATTTTTAGTGTTTTATTTTTTATTTGATTAGGATATGAGTTTTAATAACCTGCTATTTAATTTAAATTGCAAGTTATTTTTATAACAAACTTGTTTAATTTTTTTAAAATACGTGTTTATTAAATTTTTTATGACTTTAAATGTAATTTTTATTTTATTTGTTTTTGATGGATTGTTTTGTGAAGTGCCCGAATTTTGAAGTTTGGTAATATTGATTAACATAATGATAGAATTATTAAAAGATATATAAAAGCTTAATTAAAAAGTTAATATAATGCGAAAAAATATTTTATTACATTTTATTTCAATGAAATTCTCTCATTTGTAATTTGTGCTAATATTAATATGTACAATATTTAATATTAAAAATTATATTATTATAACATGTCATTTTTATATTGCGTTATTAATATTATGTACTTTTATATTCTAAATTTTGTAAATATTTTCTCTTTCCAGCAATTTGGGCCAATTCTTGACGTGGAAATTATATTTAACGAAAGAGGCAGCAAGGTAAGCTCACGTCGCCCTTAGGCTGCGAGCCACCCCTGTCAACCCACCCCCGATATAATACCGCTAGTCTTAAGCTAATATCGTATCCAACGAAATTTTCGCATTCAGAATGAACGTATCTGTATTTTTTCATATTTCTCTTTTAAACTCTTACGTTAATCAATTCATACGTATTTCAATAAAGAATTCAGAAAAATATTTGTTTTAATTTAAAATATTTATCTTTCCCGTCATCGGTAATTCGAAAAATAGATTGAGATATTTTTACATTACGTGCTTTTGCAACAATTATTTTCAGAATGTTTATCGCGCGTTCGTTATTTTGTCATTCACCCGCTTTCTCGGGCGGCCGTTGGCGGTAACCGAAAAGCTGGTGCCGCGCACGTGACTCGATTTTTCTATCGCGCACACGTGATAGTTTCTCTCCCTGTTCATTTATTGGAAAAGTTTTCCGGAATACGCCGACGAACGTTCTGGATGCGAGCATGTCGCGGGTATCGTAATGATCTTGTTAACGGATGCAGCATCACGAGCAGCGGTTCGTCGTGTATATATATATATATATATATATATGTATTTTCGATGACAACGACAACGACGAGGGTGAAGAAACTAATATTACATGCCGGAAAAACAGCGATATTCCTTGATGAGAATACGAGAACGTGCTGCAACGGGCTACTGCATCCGTACCGCGTGTACATCTTTCTTTACAGCGCGATGGCGACATTCTGTTACAAGCTCGTGTTATGATCTCGATAAAAAGAGATGCGCAAAGTACGAAGTGCCATTGTCAGTTATCGATTTTCCGTTTTACTCTCCGATGTGACATAATTCTCAACTTAGGCTCCTCTCAAGATTTTTATGAATAACTCTTAGGTGTTATATTAGATTTAAATCATCTACACTTTTCTGCATTGGTTTCTCATGTGATCTCGATTGACGGTACGTGAGGTATTATGTAACCTCGTCGAAAAAATTTGATTGCGATGTTTTTTCTACCGTGTAATTTTGACGCTTCGATCGACCGATCGTATTTTTGTTATTAAAGCCGAATTTTTTTCGATGGCTATTTCCTTGTGGAAAGCCAACGCGAAAAGGCGACTATCGATTCGCGATGGAAGTCAGCTTCGTGCGAGATTGTAGCCCGCGATTGTCGGTCGTTTATGCAAACGGCGTCGGGAAAACGGGGAGGATTTGAAAGAAAAAGGTAACGTTCGCGCAGTATATACAGATTTGTAATGCAAATTGCTTTCAATATGGATGACAACGGAGGTCGGGATAAGATCCGCAGTAATACATCGTGCCGACAGTCGGCATCCGGCGAGCCGGACGGTGTGCATATTCAGCTCTTGCGTCCAACACACTCAAGCGCACTTCATCAAGTCGCACCGGGTAACCCAGTATCCCAACGACGTCTGTCGACGTCACGTGTAGCGACCTAATGCTGATTAGATGCACGAAATCGTGTCTCCAATTTTGCTAATGTATATCCGACATCCGGTCCATTTCAATGTTTACATCGTCGGTCGTCCCGACACTCCAAAAGTTAGCCCTAATAAAACATCGTTTTTCAATTCGTTTGTTCTATATTGATGTTACGAATCTATTCTCTCTATTTTAATTTTTTATGACAGTTTGAAAACAACTGAGGTCTTTTATATTCGAAATAGGATGTACCTTTCGATGATTTCATAAACTTCAATTGACTTTTATTTTGAAAGAAAAATGCCACACCACATTGTTCTGTTACATTTAAAAATCGAAGTTGAATATATGTGTGTAATATTTCTTCGGACGTCGAAAAATTGATAGATTATATTTTAATTCACAAATATCGTTCTTTTTTTTTCGGAAAAAAAATTTCTAAATTTTTACGTTTATTTAAAACGGTAATGGTTGGATAGATTCGAAAGTTGTTTTACTTATAAGGATTGCGTGAAAGGATGCTTGCAAATAATGCTTGCTTTCTGAGCAAAGATTTGCACACGATACTTCCGGCTAGTTAAAGTACAAAGTTCAAGCAACTTGCGCAAGAATATCGCGAAAGATAAGTCTCGTTGTAGAACTCGATCATTCCGATCTTACGAGTTCTGAGAATACCTTTAACCTCGCATTATATTTTATCGGCAATGCTTTCGTCATTGATGCCACTTCCTTTGAAATGAAAGCCAACCAAAGTCACGCAAATTGGTATTGTATTTTTTTTACAAGTATTCTTCTCTTTCTTTCGCGCTTTACTTCACATTCGACTTCCTGAATGAATTCACATTGGCATTATTATTACTATTTTAAGATCTGCACGATTTTTCTATTACCCTATCTCATTGCCAATTACCAGTTACTTAATAATCAATTAATATGCGGACGAAGGTTCGATAGCATTTCGTGTCGGAAATAGAAATGTAATATTGCGTTATCGGTAAATCCACTTATCCGAAATCAACTCTTTAAAATATAAATCTATTTTACATATCTATTTTACAGTTGTTTCGTCGATATGTAAATATTAGAGTAACGTCAATCGAGACTGTGAAGAACTTGCAATTGCATATTTATCGTCGATTAGACGATTACGATTGAATCCGGCTCGTCTGGGCTCGTGACGAGTTATACAGACAGGAAGTCGATGTCGGTACGCATCCGTACTCGTAACGACCAATCACGGAGCCGTGATATAGAACGCGAAATGGGCTACTTCCAGTTTCCGGAGGGCGGGACGCGCCGAGAGACACGACGAAGAGAACTAATTAAACTCCCGCTCGCAATTAGCGGCGCCTAATACGATCGGTGAGCCGCGAGACCGGGCGGCCACTTTTATTTTTGCCCGTCCCGCCGCGTCGCGGCTTAATCGGCGCGGATCGGCTTCGCGTGAAAGCGGCTTAAATCGCGGCTCCGCGCACGGGAAAGAAAGAAAGAAAGAAAAGAAAGAAATCCTCGTGATAAGGAAACACGGTCGCGCACTCGAGCACACGGCTAATATTTCGTTGCCGTATTACGGCCAATTTGTTACCCATTCTCGGCGCTCACGTGACTAATAATGTACTCGACGCGCGGCATAATCCGATTTCGTTTTTGTCATTCTTTTTTGTTCCCTATCGCTACGTTTCGCCACGCATAATTTGACATTTGCATAGGAATAAGATACTTATGAGATCCTTAAACGGATTAATGCGCACACTGCAGGCGCAAAAAGGAGAGGTGATAATCGCGACCGTAATCTCTCGTATTAATAACGTCAACAATGTCTGACGTCTGCGTTTTGCAATTACCGTATATGTATATATGCTAGCTGCAACGAGCCGGTGGCATTCCGCCGGTGAACAATTTCGCATGTTGGGTAGATGTCACATTAGAAATCCCGCTATCAGTATCGGGTCGACAATGGCACTATAGTCTTGCAATGCAAATATCTCTCGCGGGGCCGACACCAAGCCGGCACGCGGTAAAGCACATGTGGAATTTACTCCGAATGGCATAAGTGTCGCCATCGCTTTTAGCGCTTAAGTGATTCCGAGAGCGTGACGGGATCTGATACTTTAGTGGCACGCTATTAATGGACGAGCGAATAATTATTAATCCGAGGTCTCAGAAACACCTCGGTATTATTTTCACGTAACGTAAGCGTGTCGTTTGAACATTTTAATGAAGGTTGCAAGATTGTTTCTGAGAGATTTTGCCACTTTTCCATCGTGACAATAAGAGATTTTAATGAAATATATCGCGATACGATACTTCTGTTAAAAGAGAAAGAGCGTTTATCGGAGGATCGATACTTTATTTAAATGTTATAAAGAATTGATTTTATTATACTAGTCGCTTTTTTTCATTTTGCGAATTGAATATATCTGATTTTTAAAGCGAGAAGATCCCGCCACGAGCCTCGGCATAAATTTTTCATTCGTCACATTGCTTTTGTAGAATGCACGTGAAACGGCGATTTCACGCATCCGGTTTGATAGTCGATTCAACACTGACGCTTCTCGTTATTAATAGAGTTTCAAAAGAAAAAAGAAGAAGAATAATAAAAAGAAAAAAGGATGAAAAGAACGTCTCTTTGCATGCTGCAAAAGCAACGTGCCATTAGTGATAAAACAAGCGAGTGAGTGATCGTGTGTGATTCTGTGAGAGAGACCTTTTCTCGAAAGCTTCGTCAATGTAAATGGAATGTGGCATCCCTAATGAAGTGCAGCATTTTGGAAAAAGAGATACTTTGAAGCCAAGGTGGGAAAAGAGCGCGCACCGAGAGTCTCCTCCGAGTCTCTCATCATAAACATAATAAATATGCATATTTACAAATATATATATATTTATAGTTTTATTTTAAAGTCATAATTAACGATTGGTACAAAAAGAAAAGTTAGTTTACAATTCTTTACAATCGTTGTCGGCATTAATTGAAAAATAAAACGAAAATATTCTCGACGTAGGATTTACGTTTAGTACCCAAGGGTACTCGGTACGCGCGCTTTTCCGACACCGCGTATGTGCCAATGACACGTACATACATATAAATATAACCAATGGTGTTAGTTCTTGTAGTTGTTAGACAAGCTGTTGCATTTTTACTAGCTAGCCTTCCGCATTTTATCATTATTTAGCTCCCATTGGTTATAAGGCCGGTCGTTGCACCTCGTACACCGAGTGTCCGTAGCTGCCTACGTTATAACAGCATCGCATGCGCGAGAAATCTCTCGAAGGTAGCATTCTGCAATTTTTTACGCATTCGGCCAATGCATTTTCTCAAAATAATTATGCTATATTTAGAAACTTGATTCGCAAAAATATAATGGCCAGCTTTACCTGTCGATCTATATTTGGATTTATTTATATTAATTTGAAAGTATATATAATTGGATAACAACTAGAGATATAAGCGAGCAAAAATACTTCGTGAAGGAAAACGAAAAAAAAGTAATTTGCTTTTTTTTTTCTTTTTCTTTTTCTTTTTCTTTTTCTTTATTGCGAGGCAAGTAAAGTTTTAGCGAACTCATCTCGAT